CCTGAACAGCCATTGTCTGCCCGGGTGATCATGAGTCATTGTTCCAGCAGCACAAGCTGGGAGTCAAACGACGTGATGCAGCCGTGAAGAGGTCTATTGTGGGCCGTATAAAGCCGAGGCAGGACCGGCATTCCTGGCAGACACCGGCCAGTGGACTGTCAGAGGAGTTTTGCATGAATAGTGGACTGATTCAGTCTGTGGCGACAAGGTGATTAGCATTTTGAGTGGATTCACCGCCAGCTCTGTTCCATTCACAGGGCGAGTCTGTGAGTAAGCAGCACAATATTTCTCCGGTCTGGTTTGTTTTGGAGGGAAGAAGTTTCATTTAACCCAGATCTAATATGGAATACAAAGTAGGTTTCCTCCGTTTTCATCACTTAAATAAGAGCTTTTTTAATAAACAGTCTCAAACGACTATTGCTTAAGTTGCACATCCAGACTAACAAACTAGATCAATGTTTTTTTTTTCTGTGAATACAGAACTTTAGCTGCCTTTGCTTGGCCAGACTGCATTTTTTCCAACCTGTTTAAGCATCAACATATTCAAACCAAAAATACTGAGCCTTTCTGCTCATGTTCTGCCTGATTTGCTGCATAGTGAAGTCTCCTCCCCTGTGAAGCAGGCAGATGGTAATATCTACCTTCAGCTGATCGAGGGAGCAAGGAAACTGCAGGTGTGTGTGAGAGTGTGTGTCTGTGAGATTGTGCACTTTAGATCTAATCATCATGGAAAAATGTGAAAGAGTCAGAATTCTGTTAGTTTTTCTTTGTCGGATAGTTTACGCAGGAAATTGTGGATTTCTGTGACAGCCTTTCCAAACTCTACATACTTGTCCGTTGATTTGATTTGCAGAGTGTGTGTGTGATATTCCTTTTGGCATGCATGGAATGCAATGATCCACAAAGGCACACTATGAGGATCATTGAGTCCGTGGTGCCAACATTTGTGCTTGTGTGCATTTTCAGTGGAATTTATATGGATCAGTGTGCACACAAACTTATTACCTGGTGACAAAGGATATATCCATGCAGCCTGTCAGAGTTCAAGGGTTTTGGATGTATTCATGTGATAACATTGTGCACCATGTGTTTCTAATTGGTCATAGGAAAAGTTGGTCTAATATGGGTTTAATTTAGGATCCATGCAGAGCAGTAAATGAAGAAGCAGGAACGGCCAGATTACCTAACAGCTTTATGAGTTGGTGATAACATGAGGCTGAGTCCTTGTATGATTCAAGAGGCATATAGGTCCCGCTCCTTGCAACATGCTGTCTGATGAGGTGATGAATCCATTGATTTAAATATCTGTATGAATAATCTTTTCATTATTATGTTACATTAGGAGGGGATAACAAAAAGACATTAAGGAGTTTTCTAATTATACTGCCACCATTGGTAAAAACACAGAACTGCAGCACTCTTCTGCTTGTTCTTGTAGATCTGGTTTGTACTAAACATTTTTTTACCCAATGTGGAGTTACCATCTGTGGCTGAGGTGACCTGGATGGAGGTCGCCTTCAAGTATCCACAAAATCAATCTTTAATATAATGCTTCCACTTTTTACCATGTCGGACCTATTTATCACGGACGCACTTAACCTACCACTTACAGAATTAGGGCAGGAACCATCGATCCAAAGTACATCCAGGGAAAATATAAAATATAGGCTTATAGATCGGCGCAGAATACCGAAGTGTCAGTTTGCTCATCAACCAGTGTTTGGTTGTAAAGATTACCGTATTTTCACAACTATAAGGCGCACCGTACTAAAAGGCACAGTCTCAGTTATGTGATCCATTTCTGTATTTAACATACACATAAGGCGCACCGGACTATAGGGTGGGGGTTTTATATACTGCTACATACCCTCTACTACGTTTAAATACCTCTACTGCGTATTTAAAAAGAGAGTGGGAGCAAAACTGAGTATGTTTGTGCTTTATTCATGTATTTATTACAAAGTATTAATCAAACCCATCGGAGTCATCATCCTCTGTTTCTGGATTAAACAGCCGTGCTAAATCAGACATGCCAATTTCCCCTTCTTCGCTGTCAGAGTCACTTTCCGTGCCGGGCGGCTCCTCAGAAATAATGCCGGCTTTTGTGAAAGCTCGAACAGCAGTGCCAGCAGACACGTTAGTCCAAGCATCTACAATCCATCCACAAACGGTGGCGTAATTTGCCCGGCGCTGCCTTCCACTTTTCGTGAAACTGTGGTCTCTGTCTGTCATCCATCGCTCCCACGCCGCTCGCAGCCTTACTTTGAACGGCCGGTTCACACTGATGTCGAGTGGATGGAGTCACAGATTAACAGCGATTGTGATGTGTGGAAAAAAACCACCTGGTCTCCTTACATACTCCTCCTAGGCGTGTCTCTTTGCCATTTTCAGGGTTGTTATAACAACAATGTTCTGCATAAAGCACATACCTGTTCTTTTATACACAATCCACGCCCACACTTCCTTCTTTAACGTTCTCATAGAGGTCTCAACAACGTCCGCAGTAACACATAGGGCGCACCGCACATTTTGAGGGAAAAAAAAGATGTTTAGATGCGCCTTATAGTCGTGAAAATACGGTAAATTAAAAGGCTATTTTAAATATATTTACAGTAAAAACTTACAAAATTTCTCTTTAACATGTTCTGGACAGTACTGGAAAGGTTTCCACTTAGATTTATAGGAGGTTTTAGTTTTAGTTTTTTCACTGTCATTTCCTCTCCAGGTAGGATTTGGTCAGAAAACCTTCAAAGAAAGTCTTCTTCACCGCATGTTGAGTGTTAAATAATGACCTGGGTGACATCAAATACCGACTGAGTTGAACATTTATCTATGCAGAGCAACTCTAAATTATTCCGCCTTTACCAACATATAGACCTAAAATATTATCATCCTTCCTCAGATGCAGATAATTCCTACCAATTCTGCAGAGCAGTCGCTGGAGGCTTTAACAAGCCGTTGGATATTTAGAAAACTACCTGATAACATCAGTATGCTTGCAATGCCCCCCTTCATTCTTGTCTTTGTAACTACATTACCAACTGCTTGACAGGTTTTGTAACGGTTATCTGTTGAATTTCAAAACTATTAGAATTTAAACAAAACAAACAACAGAAATTAAAAATGTGACTAAAAGGTATTAGAAAGGGATCAGCGGCTTATCCATATTGATGCAAATCAGTTTGTTGTTTATCGAATGCTGCCTTTAGACATGGGAGTTTGTTATTAGTGGCTTCTTAAACCTGCTCCAATGATGGAACTGGAGTAATTTAGAGGTGTTATATATATATATATATATATATATATATATATATATATATATATATATATATATATATATATATATATATATATATATATATATATATATATATATATATATATATATATATATATATATATATATATATATATATATATAAAAATACGACTTTAATGTTTTTATTTATTTTTTTTTACTGTTTATTTTAAGTAGGGCAATCAATATGACTCCATGACTAATCGCCATGACAACTACTGAGCCAATGCAGCAAATCATGGGAGCTTAAATCTCTTGCAACTGTTGCGAAAGATGGCAAATTGTCAGAAATGTCTGGTTGTTGTGGCTCTTGTTGTTGGTTTCAAGTTACTGTCACAACCAGAGAGATAACATGACATAGATAACTTTAACAGCCTGCAAGGAACTTTAAAATGGAGCATTTGTGTTTTACAACTGGAGAAATTAATGACTGATAGGTTGTGTTTCCTCTAAAAAGGCTTTTGCACTATCATTTCAATTCATGCTGTGGATTTTACAGAATGTCTCCTAATTCAAACAGTACAAACACACTACTTGTACTTTTACTTATATGATGTGTTGTATAAACCTACACAGAATCTTATTGCTTTTATTGATAACACTAAAAAATTTGATTTTTTTAAGCTGCAAAGTTTTTTACTAAAAAAAAAAAAAAAACATAAGTTTAATCTGTAGTTATTTACTTTTACATGCCCAGATCAAATCCGGTTTATTTGACTGCCTTTAAAATTAAAATAAAAAAAAACCCTGAAAGTTTTGACCTGTGAACAAAACACAAAGTGTAGTGGAAAATGGAAACAACACATTTCTGTGAAAATAGTGAAACATGGCTTTGTCATTATTTTTTAGAAACTTTCTGGTAATGGAGAGATGGGTAGTTTGTTTGTAGACAGTTGGCTGAAGGCTTTAAAGACATGAGTCTAAGGTAGATGTTCACTTGTTAGCAGGTCATCCTGTATCCTATATAAGCACATAGAAAATACTTCATTGGAAGGTTTTAGATGGAACTTCTTCATGTATTTGAAAGGCTAAGTCAAACTCCAAACTTAAATTAAAGTGAAAATCTCTGGCAAGTGTAAAAAAATTATGTTCACTGCAACCAATCCGATTCACTTTGAGCTGTTATGAATAGAAGAAAGGTCAGACCTTCAGCCGCTAGATCAGTGGTCACAAACGCAAATCCTCAAGGGCTACTTTCATCCAGATGTTTGATGCATTCCTTGCCCTACATTCCTTACTTGAATGGCTAAACTACATCACTAGCATGCAGTCAAACTCTGCAGAGCTCTGCTAATGAGCTTTTATTGATGTCAGATGTCTTAAAGCAGAGATGCATCTAAAAGTTAAAGAACACTGGCGCTCCAGGGTGGGAGTTTGAGACCTCTGCTCTAGATGCATAAAGCTAGATGCATAAAGCTTGCTCTAGATGCATAAAGCTGGTAGAGGCATACCAACAAAAGGTTTGCAGCTATAACTGCATTTGGAACCTAAAACCTTCAAGAGTCGTAGAGCAATTTCATTATAGTTAACACACTAAAGCACTACTTTATGTTGATTTGTCATAAACAGTCCATATTTGTGGCTTTGACTCTCCATATGTTAAAAAGATCAATAAGTGTGAATTAATTTGCAAAGCACTGCATGAGAAGCTTAGATAACCTGTTAAAAATACTAATGGGACTTTTTTCTTCTCTTTTTTCAGAGGCCAGAAAGCTAAAATGGGAGGCAAGCTTAGCAAAAAGAAGAAGGGATACAATGTAAATGACGATAAGTCAAAAGACAAGGATGCCAAGGCAGAGGGCGCTTCTGCTGAGGAGAGTGAAGCACCGAAAGACAAAAAAGATGAGGCCCCTGAAGCCAGTGATGCTAAAGAGGTAGCAAACGACACGGCTGCCAAAGAGACACCGGCTGCGGATGGTGAAGCGCCAAAAGAGGAAGAAAAGAATGCTGCTCCCGCCACCAAGGAGTCAGAAAAGCCTGCCTCCAATGCTGAGCCGAAAACAGAGGCACCGAAAAGCGCGGAGGCTCCTAAGGCTGAAGAGAAACCAGCTGCCCCTGCTCCGGCCAAAGAATCAGCTCCTGCCGCCACGGAGCCAGAGGCGAAGGCCACGGCACCTGGCCCTGCAGCGGAGAGCAAAGGGGAGGCCGACGCCAAAAAGACTGAGGCCCCCGCTGCACCGGCCAAAGTTGAGGCGGCAGCAACTGCCTCTCCTGACCCTAAGCCCACAGAGGCGGCGGCTCCTGCAGCACCTAAAGAGGCCGCTGCTGCACCTAGTTAAACACCAGCCGCCGAACCTCCCGCCAAGGAGGCCAATGCCACAGAGGCACCAAGCAAGGATCAAACCGTAGCAGTTCAGGATTAATGGACAGCTTCTTTTCCAAAATGAAGAAACAAATTACCTAACTCAATGATGACAAAGATTTAAAAAAAGAAAATTAAATTACTAGCCCGCCCATATTATTATAACAATAATAATAATAATTGTAATGATGATTATGATGATTTGTTGAGTAAAGAGGACTCGAGATATTTCCCACCAATGCGGATGATTATTGCTATTATTATTGTTATGTTTTAATCTATTTTTTCTGCTGTAGTATTTGAACTTTGATACGAGTCTGTGTCAACCATATGCCTTTGCCACTTCACCTTCATCTTTCCATTCACTCATAACTTATAGATTTCCCATTTTTAGCCCTCAGAAGGCCTGCATTCATGCACTCACCTGCACCGTCTATCTGATGGATGTTTTTGGGAAACCATTCCGATGGGATAAATGGGAACGAGGGGCTACAAATAATTTTTCCAAATGGATCTGCATTATATCCGACCGGGAGCTTCCAGTTTTCCCATACATTGAAACTTTACAAAGGTTTTTCATTTGAAGACTGAGAATACTGAAGCTTTAAGATGCATTTCAAAGGTTGAGTATTGCTGGCTTTGCAAATAACTGTAGATTTTTTTCACATAAACTTCTAAATTTTGTACTGAAACCCTTAGCTAAGTATATTCTAAGGAAACCAAGTGGTTTTTTAGCATTTGTAATACTTTAAGATTTTGCAAAGCCTTGCTGAAAAGACTTTTGCAATGTTCTTGTAAAGTTTGAAGCAATTCTCAGGTCTTTGAATGAAATAAACAGTAACATATACAGATCAGACATATCTAGCATTGACTTGGATGAAATTCAAGCAGTACAATACCTGAATTGTTTATACTTGCTTGCAATACTTAGACAGTAAAGTTTACTTTCTTACGAAGACACTTTGATTAGCACATACTCTATTAGGTAGTATCTTTTTAAAAACAACAGACTAAACTGGCACTCAGACATCCTGTGACTGTCTGTCCTTCCCAACCTATTAAACAAAATCCTGAGGTTGCACAAAGTGGCAAGGCTATAAGATTTTAGCAGTCTTATGTTGTCAGTTTTTTTTTTATTTTGGCCTGCAATACTTCAGAAACTTCTCTTAACATCTAAAACAACCGAAAAAAATTTTAGAAATCAGAATGTTGGCGGTTTTATCTGGCCACAAAAGGTAAATTTGAGCATTTATACACTTTACCTTACCTTAGCAGTTTGGTATTTAGAAAATATTTTGTGTAAAATATTAGAAAATGTCTGGTTTGTCAGGCATATGAACTGTCGAACATCTTGATATGTTACAGCCATTAATGAGACTTATTTTTTGCCAGTTGATCTTTAGATTATTAGGGCAATTCAAGATGTCATCCTTAAAGAAAAATTATATTAACACTTTTTTGTGGTCAGTATAAGACATGGCTAGCCTAACCATCCTGCCATGTCGGAGATACAGTGTTCCTAGCAGCTGCATATAAGAAGGCATAGCAGCATATGACTAGAAATCATTCAATTCTTTTTATTTAACAAACAAATAGTGGGCTATCAGCCTTAAGTTACAAACTGCTCTAAATGAAAAAGAAATCATGCACAGTTACTTCAAAATAAGTGTCATTATTTAATGTGCCATATGCATTGTTAAATTTGGAATTACTGCTAGAAATAACTCTGCAAAGGTGATTCTAGAGTACTTCTAATTGTTCTCCAAATCAACTATTCAAAAAAATCTGAAAAAACCCTTTTTTATTTTAAACTACTGGTACAATGTTTGGGAAAAGAGGACTCTGAAAAAGTCAAGCACTTTTGTTTGCATATTTTGAAAATCTTTGTAGCAATGGAGGAGATATTGACAAAATGAAAGAAAGCTATATTCTTAAGGAATAATCAGTGTTTCCAATTTCATATGATTTTAAATTCAAACAACATAAAACAGGAAATGTGAAGTTTATTTAACAGTTACATTCATATCTACCATCACAATAAGTTTTACTTCTGCTTGTGACTCAATTCTTGGACAAAAAGTAAGATACCAGCAGCTTAAACTCTGACCACCAAACCCTCCTCTTTCGACCTTTGCATAAATGCAGGTGTAGGTGTCGTCATCTCTGCAATCCATCTTTCACCTTTTCCTCTCCATCCATACGACACACAGCGTCTTCCTTCCAGCACTCGTTGAACCGTAGCAGAAACAAACATCCGAGGACGGTTTGTGTGTCATTTTATTACGTTATTTTTCTTCCTCTCTTGACTCAGTAAATTGCATGTCTGTGGTTGGGTGAACCTGTAGTCCTGTCTTTTTGGTCAAGTGGAAAAAAATAAAAATAAAAAAAATAAGTATTGATAATTTCTCGGTCTGCATCCATGCCAACTACGATTGATATTTTCATTCCATGTTTCACCGCAGCTATTTCTACATGTTCATTCAAGCAAACAGACAAAAAAAAAAAATGATATTGAAATTGATGCGTTACAATTATATGTACTTGTATAAATGGTGCAACAATAATAAAATGTCAGAAAATGACTTAAATATCTTGTGCAACTGAACTTTGTCCTCTAAGTCTTTAGAACATTAACTTAGCTGGTGGTCAACTAATGTGATTTAATGTCCTTTTTTTCTGGCACACTGCTTCACTTCATTTTGTAGATCAGATAGTTTTTCCCCTAAAACACAATTGTCATGGGACCTTAGCTGTCTTGCCTGAATTGCTAAGGTGTTGGATTTGAAATCCAGCTTGTTACCCAAACAAATTCAAGCCGTGCTCAACAGAAAGATAACATTCCTTTGTATTGGCGTTTAATTGTTAGTAAAGAACCATGTATATAAACACACATTTTATATAAAAAAAAAAAACTTTTAAGACTAAACAAATGAAAAAATGTTTGAGCACTATATATAAATGATCACCCAGATGCAGTGATTGGTCATTTGGTGACACAGAAGTACAGTTATATGTCCTCAGCGAAGTATAATGAGATAAGCTGATAAAAAAAACAAAAAAACTTCATAATCTGAGCTAGCAAAAGCATCTAGATACTGTATTTAAGGGACCAAAGAACAGGGCCCTGATGCATCCTATATGTAAGTATTTGTTGGATAAATGTATAATTCCAAAAGACAGAAAGGTTTCGTGGGATCCATTTAAATATGGAGGTTTAACAAACTAAAACCTAAGGTAGGAAACTTTCATAGTTTAGTCATTGCAGCTCGACTTAATGAATAGGTTTATCTGAACCCTCTATGGCAGGCGGTTTTACATTTATTAAAAGCATTCTCCTCTGTGTTGTTCCATTGGTAGATAACTAAAATCGTATTATTCCTGGTCAAAATCACATTTCTACTCGGGAGTGTAATAATGCATTTCCTAAAGTACATTTTTGCAACAGAAACTGAAATTGTCATTTTGACAAAAAAAACAACTTCAGATATCAGAGATACATGTTCAGTCATCTAATACATATCAAAACGTCTTTTTATAATAATAGTAAACATGACAAAATTATGGGGAAAGATAGTTTACTGCTATAATGGTAGTGATTCAATTTATTCTATTTAGGTGCAATAACCTGGCAGCAGGTGAAGATTAGTATAAAAGGTATTAGAAAGGAGCATAAAAATATTGTTCGAACGGGTAGGACCTGTTTGTCATCTCATGGACTGATCCTCTCTTTGATTCTGTCTTCCATTTATTACGGAATTAATTAATCTATGTGTAATCTGCGAATAATAATAGTAGTTCTTTGTTTACTGTAAAAAAGGAAAGAAAAAAAGATAATTGTGTCGCTCATATTAAACAAACCAAAAACAAAAAATCTCATATCTTGTAAACTGAGTCGTTTTTAATCACCACATTAAATCCATGTGACTGAAAAGTAGAATGAATTTGAAGTTAAACTTTAAAACACAGTTGTTGTTTTTTTTAATAGGTAAATTTTTTAACCAACCAAATTGTGGGTTTACTGTTCTGATTAAAAACCTTCATTAACAGAAAAGCAAGAACAACTGAATCTTGCGATGATCTCAGATGGCATAAGTGCAAATTCACAACAGAAGTCACCTCAAGTCACTTTACAAATCAACCAGATCATACAGTCAAATTGATTTAAAGTTTTGTATCCAAGGAAAACCAGCTGATTGCATTGACTCGAAGAAGAGGAAAAACTCCCTTTTAACAGGAAGAAACCTCCAGCAGAAGCAGTGTGTGCGGCCATCTGCTGAGGCCGACTGGGGTTCAAGAAGACAGAAGCAGAGATACATAAGACAGCTGTAAACCAGCTCCACAGGCGACCCTGTCCAGGAAACACACAGCCATGCAGACGAGCACCGAGCTAGCTCCCATATCAGAGGATGAAAGAGAGAACATATAGTTAGTCACAATGAGAGAAACAGGACTACACGGAGGAATAGGCCGAGTTCCAACATCTACAGTATAAACAAAGGTGTTGATGGCAGCAGCACAGCTAATATTTCTCTCCAGAAGCTACTATGAGAATAAGAAGAGAGAACATAACATTAGAGATTGAACTAACAAATTCTGCATAATGGAGGAATAGAGACAGAATTAAGCAGAATAATGAAAAGGGGACCTTATATCCTCCAGCGGTCTAAAAGCTGGTTTATGCTCAAAACCAGGTCGTCTTCATGTGTGTCGCATTTAACACAAATATGCCCCCGCCCTTCCGCAGACACTCTGGTGCACCTCTCCAAAATTGTAGGTGACCGCAGACAGTGCTGCAGACAGGAGGCCTTTGATTGGTCAAAGCTACATCCGCTTTACATTATGCCTATTTCCTGTTTGGTACCTTACCGGCTTGTTTTGTTTATATGACCAGCTTGAAGAGTGATGTGTGTGAGAATGCTGGGACCCTTTTTCCACCTGGATCCCCGCTCTTTTTTTGCCCTAATGTCCCTCTGTTGTCACACAAACTTGTCCCTTGTGTTTTTCTATTTCCTCACCGCCTCTGCCTTATCTAGACCCACAGCTAGTTCCTGATTGTCCCTCTTGAGTTGTGCTGTGGAATAACATAGCGCAGACCACGCTTAAAACTTGGACAAAAATCTAAAATATCTGCGGCATACCTGCGACAAGCTCACTGCGACACATTGCTGCGGGAGTATAACCAGCCCTTTAGCCTATAGCAGCGTAACTATAGAGATAGCTCAGGATAATCTGAGCCACTCTAACTATAAACTTTATCAAAGAAAGTTTTAAGCCTACCCTTAAAAGTAGACAGGGTGTCAGCTTCACAGACTAGAACTGGTAGTTGGTTCCACAGGAGAGGATCCTGACAACTAAAAGATCTGCCTCCCATTCTACTTTTAGCAATTCTAGGAACCACTAGTAAACCTGCAGATTGAGAGCGAAATGCTCTGTTAGGAACATAAGGAACAATCAGATCTCTGATATAAGATGGAGCCATTGGCCATTTAATGCTTGTGAGAAGGAGGATTTTAAACTATTTTCTGAATTTAACAGGAAGCCACTGAAGATAAGCTAGAATAGGAGAAATATGATCTCCTATAATTTCCCCCTGGAATTATTAAAGTATGTCTGATTCTGATTCTGATATGGAAGCTGAAACTTCAATCCTCCTCCTCTGTTCAGTAATGCCTTTTCTATTTAACAGAGAAAGCTACCTTTAACCCTCTTTCAAACCATCTGTCTTCTCTGTGCAAAATCTAAAATTTTCCATTGTCAAACACATGTCTTTTATTCTTGAGGTGCCAAAAACTACGAACTCTCATACACTGCGCCATGCGTTTGTGTAGCTGTTGTTGGGTATTTCCAGTATAAGAGTCTGGACTGCATAAACAACACCACTCAGCTTTAGTTTGGAAGTTCTGTCTTTGGGATGAATCACCTTTTCTCTGAGTGTGTTGTTGGGTGTGAAATTCAGCAGTATGATATGTGCAGAGAAGATCCTAGTTAGTTTGTCCGAAATTGCTAACAAATTGGAATTACAATGGCTCTGTTCAAAAACCTGGGCTGCATCCTCCGAGAACGCGGTCTACCTAGACTGGATCCTACGAAGTCTGTGAAAATAAGGAGACCGGAAGAGTTCTGGCTGTGAATTCAAACAGGTCTACACTTTGGCGGGTTTTACCGCCATATGCTCTGTTGCTTAGCAACTGCGAATGTTGACACAAAAAGCAGAAAAAGAATAAACACCAAAATTTTCAAAACTGTTTGTTTATTTATTTATTTTTTATTGTAAAGTGAACAAGGACTACCAAGAATCCAGAGTGGAATAAATGTTCCAATCACCAGGAGCAGGAACAAATAAAATCAAATGTACGTAATGATATAAACCTTAGTCAGTTAAATAACATGCTGCTGTCATGTTGCACATCTCTGATATTGCTGCTATTTTCAAATATCCATTACTGTAAAAATGTCCATTGCTGGATATTGGTTATTTATTTCCCAGTTTTATATTGTTAAAACACTTTACAGTATTGTATTTTTTATATTTTAACTCTTATATTATTTTATTCTTATAAATTTTTCTAAGGTCCACATTTGTGTGACCATTTCAATATTCTTTCTGCTGCTGTAAATTTGCCCATTGTGGGACAATAAAGGGATTTTCTATTCTATTCTATAAAAGGGGTAGAAAGATATAAGCAAATCTAAACAATGTATGTATAAAAAATATATCTGCAAAATCCCTAATATTCAACAACAAAAAATACTTTGTTAAGCATATTGTGCAAAACAGCAATAAAAAGATTAAAATCCTATCAGATTTATAGTCCCCACACTGCAGATATATTAGAATCTGTCTTTAAATTACAGCCAAACCCATTTACACAGTAACAGATAAAATCAAACATTACCGCCACATATCTGACTCAATAACCATTAAAACAAATATTTTCATTAATCTCAGACGGAACTATTCACACACTTGTATTATATTAAACTGAACTTCCAATTTTCACCACTGTTCGGCGCCAAGTAATCTTTCCTCTGATCACGGCTTGCTTGGTCTCGCAATGAATCCTGGGATATCCAAGGATAGCGAAGATACATCGGACCCGTCTTTCAAATCGGGCAATAAGAAGGACGCATTTTAAGGACGCATAACAAGGACTCTTGGAATCCGACCAGACCTCAGCGATGACGTAATCGGCCTTCGAATCTGGCCTTCTAAGGATGCGTCCTAGGTTTTCGAACAGAGCAAATGTTTTGGTATCACTCTGTTTTCATTGCAGGGTATTACTTCCTGCTAGTTTTAAAAGCCTGCAATTAAAGGCCTGTTTTGTGGTCGCCATGACCTGGATGACTAAGAACTGACACGGGCACTTTACTGTTTGCTTTTACTCAGCAGTGTGAACAAGGTTGAAGGTTATATATGTGATCTATGTGATGGGGGAGAGTCAGTGGTGGACGTAGTGAAAGAAAGCAGAGTCAAAACTTGGACAGTTTTCAAAAGCTTGGTTGAAGCACCATGCAATTGACTTTTCAAAATCTATGAATCCTAAATCATGGAGAGATTGCTGCAAAGTCAACCACTCAATGTAATCGG